TATATATATAATCAAAGTGAGCATGAAGAGATAAACGAATATCCACTATGAAATCTGAGTATTTGAATTCACTCACGAACTCTATTACATCACCTGCAATTTGTAATCTTATGTTGAGATTGTTGATGAGTGATAGCTTATAAACAGTTGATAAGATCATATATTTTGTTTTGGAGGTGTTGAGTGTCATTTTATTGCTATTCATGTACTTCAAAACATTTCTTAGTTCGTTATTCATTTAATCAGCTACTGTTTCTATATTATCTCCTGAAATTGATAACAAAGTGTCGTCTGCAAAAAAGTCTGCAAATAGAACAAATTTTGCAAACAATCGTTTTTAATGTGTCGAACAAATGCATGAATCAATTGAATTGATTCTGATTGTATACATTGTTTTTGAAAAAATACCAACGTTTCATTGAATCATTATAATGCCCCGTTTTTCAAACACTTCAAAAATGTAGTTTTGTGAATTCAATAAAAAAAAATGTAAGGTTGCATTCAGTTTCACTAATCAACAAACTTCAGTTACATTGTTGACAATCCCACACAACTTATCAAGTAGAATAACCGTTATAAATAGACCTCTACTTCATTTTCCTGCATCCAAATGTAGAATTTGCGATATTTGTTTACACTATCGGATGGTAAAGCACAAAACCACTTTCGATTTGCCGTATATTTTATCAGCAGCTACTTAAATTAGCTACGTTGGCGAAAACCTTTATATATGAAGGCAAGAACGACCTAAAATGTTAAGCCTCTTTGTTTGTGAGCAAATATGAATTTACAATGGTCGTAAATTCGCCATTTCTCCGACAGTAATCCTAAATAGTTGCAGGAACACAGTGAAATTATGCACTTGGCTTGCTCCAGACTTCATAAAGTAACATCACCTGTTAGGGTTTAGGTTCTCCGCCTACCAAGTTTTCACAATGCACAATTTAGCACTGAATATTTCACCTGTTAGTGTTAAATGCACAGTTTATGGCCGTACGTGCATGTGCCAGAATCCTTCTCTAAGTTATACGAGCCGTTGGAATATAGTCGGCCCCATTCAGTCTTCTCATGAAAAATTAAAAAACAATGTGATATGCAAACAATTCGGAATGTTCAATACGACAATGAGTTATTTGTGATTCGTAACTGAATTCTGTCTTGAGATAATAATCAGAACTAATGTAATATATTCACCTACTACTGAATGACTGAACATTTAATAATTTCCTGAAGACAAACACAATAATATTGATATTTCTAGAAATATTTCTTTCTATCTGCCATATGGCAATTCCAACAACAACAAGATGGAGCACTACAGTTTGTTGAATATTTACTAGTAATAACAAGAGACAGTGAGTTACTATTTGCATTTTTAATATTTTCGATATAACAGTAGTATTCGACATGAAATCAGGTATAAATAGGTGAAAGTGAGATTTGACGTCTCTCTTGGTACTTGAAGAAGTGGTAGACTGTGAATTGATTTCAGTCTTCGATTCGAAAGAATATTTTATTGAAATTTCACAAAAATTTGGTTTCAGGATACCCTGTATAGTTTACTTTGAATATCAAAAATATAACAGAATATCTACCGTCGAACAATAGACTACGGAAATGAGTTACATCAGATTATGATGAGAGATTGTATCAAAATGATTATGATCATCATTAACTTTTGAATCTGGTCGATTACATTTTGTCTGGATTGATATTGAAGAGTGAATATGAGGTAACTTTCAAATTTTTTATTTTGCTTTCATGTGATAAAATCTATTTTCGAAGTTTCAGCAAATTGTATCATATACTGTATATCTCCATAGTATTTTTCACAATGCTAGTGAGCTTGTCTGATGGAGGATGCCAGTTGAATGAAACAACATTCAAATGTGATGATGTCGATCCTAGAACTATTATTTATGAGTATAATTCGAAGAACATAGATAACGTCAAAATCAGCAATATTGCAATCAACAATTCGAGTAACTTCATTTTGGAAAACTTTTTGGAATCATTAGAGAAAGAAACGAAAATGAAAATCAAGAAGTTGGAGGTGCGTGCTTGTGATGTTGAAGATATAACAGTTGAAATATTCCAAGATTTGAGCGAGTTAGAAGTCCTAGATTTGAGTAATAATAAAATAAACAAACTGGATTTTCTTCAAACCTTACCGGATACCATGAAGGAAATTTATCTTGAGCACAATGGAATCGAAGAAGTTCCTGATAGTTTTTCTAATCTCAAAAACCTCCAGATCATCGATCTGAGTTTCTGCAAATTAGAAAGCTTAGATTTCACAGTCTTCAAGAACAACCTCAATTTGACTTTGGTAAATGTTTCACATAATAATATTCAAAACTCCGTTTCAGAGGAATTTCTAAAAAACATAAAGTGCGTGGACATGAGCTATAACAACTTGGACAAGTATAACAATATACCATCATACTGTCTAGATTTGAGCTATACAGGTATGGCAGGCTATCGCTGGTACAATATATCCGAAAAAAACAAAACCGTTTTCATCGAAAAATTTGTTTTTTCCGGCAACAATCATTTGCAACTATCGGCAACAAATATCAATGACGCACCATTGCCAATTGTGATCAAATACCTGAACGTTTCGAGTTTTAAAGGAAGCGTATCAGATTTGGAATTGAATAAGGTGAAAGTCAGAAAAGAACTGATTTTCAAAGACTCCACTATACCTTCACTAGAAAAATCTACATATGACTTCAAATTATTATTTTTTGATGAGGGAACTAATGCAACATTCGACTTGTCGAATTGTACAATAACTGAAATTTCCCCCTTTTATTTTGAGAAGTATAGTTTGGGAAGGTTAAATCTGTGTCACAATAAATTCATAACATTGAAGGATGAAGTTTTTAAAGATGCATATATCATACAATTAGACTTGTGCAATTCCAGTATAGGAACAATTGGAGATCATACCTTTCAAGATTTGCACAGCATATTGCTCAACTTATCCAGAAACGATATTGAGGATTTGGGTTTCTTGAAGGTAATTAATGATGTTCAAATATTGGATCTATCATATAATAAGATTAGGTCAATAACTCCTGAAAGCTTTTCCAATTTAACACATTTGCGCATACTTTATTTAAATGACAATTCAATCAGTGTTGTGGAAAGTGGCAGTTTTGGACTTGATAGTATCGAAGTTATCAAGTTATGTAGTAATGAAATCACTGAAATAAGAACCATGACGTTTAATGGGAATCCTAACCTGAGAGAGATAATTTTGCTGGACAATCCTTTAGTTGCGATAGAAACAAACGCTTTTAAGTCACTGCCGGCTCTGGAAATAATAGATCTTGGAAACATGAAAATAACTAGCATACAACCTCAAGCCTTCAACAATTTGCAAAATCTTGGTGTTGTTTATTTGAATGCCAATAATTTGACTGAGCTGAATCAGAATGTATTCGTCAATGTGCCTATCCTGAAAGAAATTCGTTTGGAGGGAAACTGCTTGAAAAATATCGAAGTTTTGAACGGTTTGAAATTCGAAACACTGAAAGTGAAAGTTTGTGATAATTCCCAGCTCGGTGGTTTCCACAATCCGAGCCTGAAGTACCTGTATATCGTTGAATCTGACCTCAATAATCTACAGGGTTTCAATTCTAGAAATTTGCTTGAGATACATTTCGTAGATTCCCCAATAACAGTTTTGCAACCAAATACTCTATCTGGATTATTCAGTGTGAGATATATCAATGGAAGGGAGTTGTTCAAAACCGTGGAAATACTACCAAAGTATGTTTTCCAGGATATGAGGTCCCTGAATAATTTAGATCTCTCAGGACTTGTGATAAGGATCATTGAGCCAAGAGCATTTGTAGGATTGGTGAATCTGGAGGAGTTATCATTGGCAAATAATCGAATTGTTGAACTACACAACTGTTCATTTTGTGGTTTGAATAACATGAATCATCTCGACTTGTCCAATAATGGAATTTCCGTTATTGAAACTCGTGTTTTTGACGGTATTGAGAAAATAAACAGACTCAATCTCAACAATAATAATTTATCTATCATTCCACTCGGAACATTCAACAATATCAGTTCTTTGAGAGTTTTATTTTTGAGCAACAACAAAATCGATTATATAAGCACTGGTACATTTTCAAACCTACCAAATTTGAGAACTCTAGATATTTCCAACAATCGAATCAACAACATTTGCAGTGGAACTTTTTTTCCACTGATAAACTTGGAGGAACTGAATCTTGAAGGAAACAAACTTATCCTCATGAGTTCATCAGACCTGCTTGCGCATAGTCCTAAATTGAATTCGATACTGATAAACAGAAATAATTTTGGTTGTGAGAAATTGAAAAGTATCCTGTATGATTTTAGAAAAAGTAATGTTTCGGTTGGAAATGGTGTTGAGAATCTCAATTTCAGTTCCTATAATATCGATGGAATATCTTGTAGAAGCAACTGTATCTGAACTTTGTGATATACATTGTGGGTAGTGACATACAAACAGCATATTTTCCAACATTTCCTATCCTCAAATATCATTTTCAGTATCTAAGGTTCATACTCTCAGAAACATATCTGCAGTTACGCTCATTTTCCTGTTTTCATTACAAAAATTAAATCGACAAAGCATTGAGGAACTATGTCGAAAAAAAAACAACCTCAGAAAAGCAGTTCAGCAAAACGAGGCATCACCAGATATACGAAATACAGAGCCGATTAGTTTCAGATGTCTGTGTGGAAGCATTTTCAAAGTTACTTTTCTTGTTCATGTTCATCTGTCTATGTTTTGAGAATATGGAGGTTAGAAAAGTACCAAATATTGTTAGTGTATGGGTATACTAATTCAAAATTTGTAATTGTTAACTAAAATAAAAAATTCAAATGAACTTACTTCTGTTGTGGGTATCATCTTAAGATGAATACATTGCATTTATTTCAGAGAAATAAGAACAGAGAACAGAACAGAGAAAATAAATACATTTATACGTATTATGGAATAGGATGGACAAAAATTGTATTCATTATAGAATTTACTGAAGAATATCCCTTCTCTTTTATTTCTCATCGCTACAAAAACTGTGAATTTGAATAATTGACTTCAGAAACGCTGAAAACGTCAAAAGAAAAATGTGTCCCAATCCTCGTTGAGATATTTCATAACAATCAATGAGTGCCTCAGTGGTTAGCCTCGATAAAACTTTCCCAAACTAAACACATCTTCAATCAAAATCCTTACGGAATGCTTTGCTTCATGATAGTTCAGATACTGTACTTTCAATCGCACATATCTCGTGACGTCACACTAGCTTTCGCCAATTGCGCAGTTTGAAATTCGCGTATTATGTTGACGGCAAATCTAACGATTTCAAATGTATGCCTTTATATTCAAGATGACCACTACTATGAAAATATATGAAAAATGTACGAAATCAGATTTGATTGAACGACTATTATGGGATTGAAATTCAATTGCAGTTACATCAGAATTTTCCAAATTTCACCAACATGACCACAATAACAAAATGACGTTTTTAAATGATGTTACAATTACTTATGTTTTATAAATATATCACTTCAATTAAATGAATAAAAAAACTTTTGTCTAATTATCACTAGTTGATTTTATTTCAATTAATTACTATTACTATTACTAACTACTGAATGAAGACTGAGGATAAAGTCATATCTAAGCCTAAAAACGAAGGATATCAACAAGTTAATACAATGCATGTAAAAATAATTAATATATGCATAGAGGTGATTAAGCAAATGAGCAAATGTCTATTTTGTTTTTGAAACTGTTCACTGAGTCGGAATTTATAACATCGTTGGGTAGGTTATTCCATGTTTCGAAAATACGATTCACCAAAAAATATTGCCTCTGCCTTGTTGCGAATTTTTCGTTTTTTAATTTGAGTGTGTCACCACGTAACCGCGAATCATTGTTGAAAACAAAAAGTTCTTTCTGATTAGCATAGTTATACTTACCTATACGGAAATATATGATGAGGCCCCCACGGAGTCGACGTTGGTCAAAAGCTAGCAGTTGTGCCATCCTCAGTCTTTCGGGATAGGTTGGACGCACTTCACCAAAAGTCATACGTGTGGCTCGACGCTGTACATTTTCCAACAAGTCCCTATCGCGCACCAGAACAGGACACCACATTGGACCTGCATACTCCATGTTAGGACAAACGTAGGTTTCGTAGAGTTTCATGGAACTTGAATATGATAGATGGAGGAACATTTTGCGGATGATGTAAATCAGTGTGTTTGCGCGTTGCATGTGGATATTATATGTTCGGACCAAGTTAAGTCCGTATTAATAGTCACTCCCAAGTACACATGTGAGGACACTGTACGTTATAAGTGACCACTTATTGTGTACGTATGGAGTGGATTGTTCTTTCCTTGATGAAGTACGACGCATTTATAGACGTTAAGCGCGGTCGTACACCAACGAAACATCAAACACGCAACATGCGACATGTGACATGAGTTACATACTGCATGTTGCTTAACCGCGTAGACAAGTGTGACAACTACATTTGTAGTATTTAAAATGTCATCAAGCGAGGAAGATGTTGTAGTAGCTTGGCAATTTTTGCGAAATCGACGTAAACGAAAACGGTTGCGCCGATATTGGATTCGTCCATTATTTGTACATAATCTGAGCCATAGCCCCGTCACTGTTGCATAGAAGCAGTTATCCCTCAGTCCAGAAAAGTTTGAAGAATATTATAGAATAAACCAGGAAAGTTTCCGAGTGTTGGTGGAACTTATAGAACCGAGAATAGAAAAGCTAGATACCCACTACCGGGAGGCTATTTCCTCAGAGGAACGTTTATTAATAACATTAAGGTACGTAATACAAAAATTAAATATGTAATACCATTAAAATTACACAAATACTTATAGCAACAATATTGGTGTTTAGTTCCTATCAACTATTTATGTGTAGCGAATATCTTCGTTTCTCTGGAAATCCTGTGGATATTCACTGTAGTTTCCGTGTAGGTCTTGCACTGACCATGCAGGCCTTGGTACATCCGGGTTTGACGTTGGGCACTGTAGAGAAGCATTAGGACTTGGTGTTGGACAATATACATAAGACGGTCTTGAACTTGAAGTAGATGAATTACAGACACGGATATCCGCATCTTCAAGTATGTCATCCATTAGCCCTATAATTTTTTGACGAAATCTTCTTCATTGTCTGTATGTTCTTCCGAGCCGTTATTACCCTCATCAGCACTCTCGTGGCAGTCTGCAAATTTCCATCGCCTGCTTTATTTTTTATGTAAGGCAAAAGAAATTCCAAGCTTTCATTTAAATAATATTTTTTCTCTTTATTTGCACCGGTGCCGGAGGGTAGCTTTTTCATAGATCGCAAAAATGCTCTCCGGATATTTCTCCAGCGTTCGCGACAATTTGACACTGAAAAAGAAAAAACTCTATTAAAAACTTGAACAGAAAGCTAGTGAAATAACTTTTCTCTTTTTTCAGGTATCTGGCAACAGGTGACAGTTTTAAAGATCTTTCGTTCCAGTTCTATAGAGGAGATACCACAATTGGTAGAATAGTAAAAGAAACAACTGATGCTGTATGGGAAGGTCTGAAACCATTATTTATGCCAGTCCCTAATGAAGAAATATGGAAACGCAATGCTGAACGGTATTACGAATTGTGGAATTCACTAAACTGCGTCGCCGCAATTGACGGAAAACACATCCGTATAAAAAAAATTGCCAATAGTGGCTCAAGTAATTTTAATTATAAAGGCTTCTTTTCTCTGGTACTAGTGGCAACTGCTACTGCAGATAGTTTGTTTACAAACTATCTGCAGTAGCACAGTTTGTTTACAAACTATCTGCAGTGATTTAGGACGAAATAGTGATGGGGCTGTTTTTAAAGCATCTCATATTGGCAAACTGTTGAGAAAACAAAAAATAGGAATTCCTGAACGTTCACATTTACCAAATAATGAAAATGGAGAGCCCTTTCCTTATTACATATGTGGAGATGAAGCTTTTCCATTATTGCCATATTTAATGAGACCTTATCCACAAAGAGTTTTAAATGGTACAAGAAGGATCTTTAACTACAGGCTTTCCCGAGGAAGAAAGAGTGTCGAGTGTGCATTTGGAATACTTGTATCAAAATTCCGCGTATTCGAGGGACCAATTTGTTGTGAGGAGGAAACCGTAAACAAAATTGTGAAAGCCGCCTGCGTTTTACACAGTTTTATTAGAATACGGGAAGGAAAGTTTACTAGTCCAATGCATTTCGAACAAAATGTGCTGAACCATCCACAAATAACACATGAAGTTCAAGACGGATATCGCGAAACAACATTAGCTATGAAATTGCGATTATCGTTAGCTAAGTACCTATTTCATGACAACTGAAGGATCGATACTAATACAGTGGAAATACGCATAGTTACTTGTATAGAACATTAAATAAAATTGTACATATTTACCTGAATCTTTTATTTCATTTGCCACCTCCGCCCATGCTTTTTCTGTGACATTTCTTTTGCTATACTCCGTTAAGGAATAGTTTCATATGCACGGACGTTTTTCGATAGCTTTTACGAAATTAATATTAAAAACAGGATTTTCAGACATTTTTTGAACGTTATTTCTATTTTTAATAAAAATCACCGATCTTACTTCTTCAATCACGCAACAACTAGTGCGACGAGACATGCACGGTAAAACGCATGCAGTTTTTGTTGCGAGACACTTGCACCAGCCGCATTGGTGTACGATGATTTTAACGATATATGTGTGTTTATATTGTCTTAATGCAGCACAAGTCTATGCGCGGTATTTACCTCATGTCGCATGTTGAATGTTGCGTGTTTGATGTTTCGTTGGTGTACGACCGCGCTAAGAGGTAGAAGCCAATCCTCGAACCACTCACTAATCGAGTTGAGGTCTTTTTGAAGGGAATTATGTTCGACTAAGGCATTTCCATACAGTTAAGTATCATCGGCATAAAACGACTTGCTGAACTTTATGTGAAGAGCAAGATCACTTGCATAAACAACGAAGAGGAGCGGGCCAAGAACAGATCCCTGGGGAACTCCACTTGTGACTTGTCTGTGCGAAGAAAAAGAGTGACCCACTTTGACCGTGAAAGTTCTATCTGTCATGTGATTTTCAATCCATAGGTTTAGTTGGCCTCCAATACCGTGTGTGTCAAGTTTGTGCATTAGCCTCCTCACTGGGACCCTGTCGAAAGCCTTCGAAAAGTCAAGATAAACGATATCTGTCGATATTTTTCTATCGTAAGCTGTTGTCCAATCGTTCATGCACTGTAGTAGATTGCTGGTGGTTGATCTACCTTTGACGAAACCATGCTGTCCCGGTGGTATGATTGCGTTTTTTGTTAAAAATTCTGACATATCTTCTACGATGATGGATTCCATCACTTTGGAAGGTACGGATAAAAGACTAATGGGCCTGTAGTTAATTGGAACGAGTTCATCGCCTTTTTTGAAAATAGCGGTGACACATGCCTTCTTCCAAGCCCGTCGGATGCGAGATTTTGCGAAAGAGACTGACATGATTGTTGACAACGGAGAGCAGAGAGTTTCGGTAAACTTTTGAGAAAAAAGTGGCTCATTCCATCCAAACCAGGGGATGAATTCGATTCAATGTTCAATAAATGATTTTTAATTTTATCCGAAGTATACGTCACATTAGTCAGATTATCACGTAGTCGTTCTGCTATAATGTTTGGTAATTGGTCATCTCGAGGCTCAACCGTGAGGGAGCTTGTGGAAGAATCGGCCAAAATCTCTGCTTATTCGATGTCTGTAGAACACAAGGAACCGTCAGGTTTTCGTAGGAGCGGAATGCTTACTTTGGTGTTTAGGTTAGATCTTATGAACTTGTACAGTTTTTTATTGTTTTCAGAGTATGCAATAGATTCTTCGAACTCACGACGTGAAGATCGTATTGTTGATACCAAGTGTTTTGAGAAATTTCGATGAGCTAGGTAATCTTTGTATCTTTTCCAGAGTCTTTTTTTGTTATGTATGAGTGACATTATTTCGGCATTCATTCCACTGGTCTACAGTGGTTTTGTTGCCCTAGATATGAGATTGATTTTGGGTGTATTCATACTCACAATTCATGGAATTATCACTGGTTTTGTAAGAGTTGCTCTCATTTTCTTTTAAATATTTATTTTCATTTTACATTACAAAAATTCGAAAACAAGAAACAAAATAACAGATATATTTATAATCTCAGTTTTACTTGAAAAAAAAAATATGATACTTTGAAGTAAATAGAGAGGGAAATTTCGAAAACATGTTATATTTCCATGAAACGCCTTTTAAGAGCTTTTCTTTTATAATTTTTCAGAGGACAATCTCTTTTTAAAGACCAGCAGTAATCGGCCATCATGTGACAATCCCATCGACCCTGATATCTTTCTTCCATTACTTTTAGATCCTGGTGGAACCGCTCTCCCTGCTCCTCACTATAATTTCCTAAATTATCTGGAAATTTATCCAAATGGTTGCGAAGATAGTGTAACTTGATACT